CCTATTAATCACTCCGGAAACAGCGTACCAACTGGCCAGTTACGCCTTCCTCTAATAAATTATCACGATAAGCCCTTCCGATCCCGTAGGCCCAAGATAACAGAAGAACGATATGGTCGGGTCATCAGATAGTCGATAGTCGATAGTCGATAGTCGGATAATCGAAAACTACCTTTCCCCCCTCAACCACTTTAATTCCACTTGACCAAACTCTATCTGCGAATTCCGTCCATAGGACTCTGGACGGACTCTACGGAGGCAACCACTTTCATTAGTTGAACTATCGGGTTCGTGGACGTCAACCGTGGGACGCGTCCTTATCACCCAATTTCGGGCCTATCAGGGTTACCCCGCACGATCGTCATGCCAGAGTCATGTCTGAATGCGATTGCAATGGGTTTTGTGGTGGGATTCCCTAAATTTCGGTCGCGTTCGTGAATCATGGGTAAGGGGGTGATGTGAGGAGGCCTGGGTTTGGTTGGTATGGGATAGAGCCATGGGTGGTCGCTGATAAGGGGAAGTCTGCGCGTAGTAGTACTAGATGTGTAGCAATCTAGTAAATGAGAATGAGAATGATACTTCTCGTATGGATATGGGTTGGTCGGCTAAGGATAGATGATTCTACAGTCCTGTCGGCTATCGACCAGACATCATTATCTGTCGGTTGAGATAAGTATGAGATCACCAGCTTATCTGGCATCAGACAAGTTGACAACCATAGTAGACTAGGCATGTTCGTACTAACTAACTAAATTACGAACTCACTAGCCCCCTTCTTTCCACACAACCAAGCGAAGTCGGCGGCCACACGTCCTACATACTACTGTAGTAACTGGACCACTCTGGTCGTGTGCACAGTGCTGGTGCTCCGATCCCCGCGTCAGATCCAACTTAGGCATAGCATGGGCAGGAACACCTCTATTCAGCCTAGTCTGACCTATCTTGGCCTAAACAAGTTACCCACCTATCCACATACGCCCATCATCGGGTCTAAATTCTAACCAGCTGACTGGGGCCGCGTTTTCCCCAGATTTTTGCTTTACCAGCCCCCGGCCCCCCTTGAAAACAAAGCACATAATACGGGGTAAACAATAAACGTTGATAATGATCATGACAACAATCAACAAGAATGTTGGGGTTGTCTGGGGAAAATGGATCGGATCATCAGTCGGGTGATTAAATTGTGCGGGGTCAAATATTCCAAGATTGAGAATTGGCTTTCCGGGGCTTCGTTTTTGGTGAATTTGCTGGTTTGTAGGTACACTTTTGGTTGGTGATGTCCCCAACAGTATGGGTGTGAATGATCCCCCCCCCCCCCCCCCCTTCTCTCTGTCTTGCGATACGTGTCTGATTTAGAAATGATCATACTGTAGTGACAGAATCTTCTAGTTAGCTAGGGGGGCTGACATCCCATCTCAGTTCATTTTTGGGGACGTTGCCAGGGTCTCGTGCCCGTGCCCTGGCCGTTATACGGGGAAAGTGATTCCACGGTCTTCCACAGTTATCCGTCGATCAGCGACGAGAGATCACAAAAAGCATAACGAGTTATTTTCCGGCACTATAGTATCTGCCGGCTTGGGGCTGGACTACCCAAGGAAAGATGGCTGGCTTGGCCACATCCACGAGAGTCATCATTGGCACATGGTGCGAACCTGGTTGAGGTATGACTCCTAAGTGGGCATGGCTGGTTAAGTTGAGCGAGTCCGTGTGTTCGGACTCTGCGACCGAGACGCACGACGCACGATACGTCCAGTAACTGTGCATATCGTACTGCAGCATGTACCAAATCCACCCTATGTAGGTCTAGGTATCCTGTAGGTAGGCATGTACGTCGTACAAAGGTTAGCCGATGTACGCCATGAACCTCGTCTCCCGTAGGTCACCCTTTTTCTCCGGGTACAAACTCTTCATTCCGTACTGCAGGCTGAATTGGAATTGAAATTGACGCAAGGGAGATCGTGGGGAACATCAGGCCAGGGGAAGGAAGGTTAGTCCCTGACTCGGGTGAGTCTCACTACTGTACTCTTCGGTTGTGGTTGTACAAAGGCAAAGAAAGTCGAGGTACGGTAGTAGTAAGACGGAGAGATTGCCGTTGAGCGTTGCAGTGCGTGGTTCATGCATGGTTAGTTTTTTGCCTTTATGTTTACTTCTTTGTTTACTTTTACTCGGTATCTAAGAAGTGGTCTCACGCTACATTGAGTTCAATAAATCCTCATCTTCATGACTATCCAGTGTATGTCCTATATGCTAGCTTGATAGATGGTAAGAAGAATCAATAGAGAATTTGCTTCCCTTCAAATTAAACCCCAATCTAACAGAAGCAAGCGCCTCTGCATGATTGCGGGGGTGAGACCTCGAAATCCTGGATAATTGTGGTGGCTGGGTTCAATCGTCTCAAATGACCCTCGATGGTGAGTTGATAGATCATGACTCCGGTGCGACAATATCGTCTATGAGGTGCTGGTGTTGTACAGTGAGCCTGCTCCTAAGATGGAGGGTTATCCACCAGGGCTGCATATAGTTCTAGCAGTTATAGACCAGATCGACTAGATATGCCACTTTCCAGGAAACGCAATAGCCGCTAGGTTTATAGCCTAATATCAAACACCAATTGGAGAGCCAGAAGGTCCGTAAATTGTTGCCTGATGTTAGAACTGTCGTGTCACCGTGAAAGAGTTGGAATCCAAGTCGTCTGAGCCAAGCCGGCGCTCAACGAGGCCTTACTAACACCAATGTCGAGAACCACCAAGATTCCAGACTTTTGCGTGATCTGTATTTACAGTGGGGTTTCATAGGTTTGAAACCATGACCAAAGTTCAGAATCATGTTATCAGTCAAAGGTCGAATGATAGACTCAATAATGATACCTAAGCTATCGAGAAAGACGACTAACATGACCTTTCAAAAGACCTTTCAATAACCAAGAAGTGGAAGCATATCTATTAGGGGGTCTCTCTGGTTTCTAGACAGAGTTTTGAACTACCACTGTATCTGCCTTATTGTACGTTCATGACAGTCTTCGGAAGTTCAGCTGTCTGACAGGTCGTGTTTGTGTTCAACGGTTGCCAAGTCAACATAGCAACAAACTTTGCGAGCAGTGGCATGACCTTTCAATTCGCAAAGAGCATGTACGGAGTACTCGTATATGAGGTAGATAGTCGAATCTACATAAGACGGTAGACAGCATATACTACTGTACTTGGATATATAGCAATTAGTATCCCGTGACTCGTTGCCATCCCAACGGAATAACCCCTCAAAGGTGCTGAATGTACATGCTCTCATAGGTATACATCGACAGAATGTACCATAGCACCTGTATACATGCTATACTCAAATACAGAAAAACAAAAATGCATACACAAATTACTGTTACCTAAGCTCCCCCAGCTATTCTCTATTATTGTTATTCTGCATTTAGCTGGGGTCCGGCGGTTACCGTCTGCAGCGCGATTTGCCACTCGGTGGGATACAGTTGCATGCTTCATGCCTATGTACCTACCCACCATATTCCCCTCCCCCTGCCCCGTCAACGTCATTCTATGCTTGCCTTGTAATACACTCTATCGGTGGTTATCAGTATGACAGGGCCGATGGCGGGTATGTACAGTAGTGTAGTATGGGATCAATTTGTGTGTTTTAATTGTAATCCCGATGCTCTGGACCACGATTATGATGACAGAGTGGATTATTACATTACTACAATACTACTACAGTACAACAACGCCTACTACATTTACGTACTGTAGTATACGTAGACAATGATGTTGAGACGCCTTTGAAACGAGCGACTACCAACGAGAGCGGCGCATGTGGGGTTCCCGGCGCCAACTGCTTCTATTTACGATTCGAGGTGGTTACGGATCGTCTACCGAGTGGAACTTGTGATTGGATTATTTCAGTTGTGATTGGAGCTACGCTGAGCTATTTTTCGAATGTACATAAAGCGATGCATTATTACAGTGGATAATCGTTGGGTCGAGTGCGGATACGGACGGATGCTGTTTCAATGTTGCCAGTGATGTGTTGTGGGGTTGCTGATTTGGTTGGCAATAGGCAAACAGATTCTCAATAATGAAGACGGGCCGATGACCTCGATCAATGGATGGATGCAGTGTGAAACCAATTCATAATTATAGCAGATTGCATCATACTCAGAAGACTGTGTTCACTGATAGCATTGAGGACGAGCATAGATTTGCTCTCTCTGTCGGGTGTAGAGACCCCAGCCAAACCTAAGTTTCTAGATGTCGGATGGCAGTCTTCATCGCAATGGTTGCAACAGTACGGGATATGGTTGGTTTATTGGTAAAAAATTTTAGCAATTTGTCGTGTTCTTTTGTTCAAGCAAGGACTTGACTATCTTGGCAATCAATGGGTGGGATACGCTCCATTTCTTTCTTCCGAATATATATCTCGTCCAGATCCGCCGCAGTACTGTTTGTCAACCATGCTGGGTAGACCAATGTACCCCGAGTACCGGCATAAGGAGTACATATTCACCTGTATTTCGTGATTAAGATGCATGGATTAATTGGTGCAGAACCCCAATTTAATCTACCTACTGGGCCTGTAGTCTAAATTCTGTCATTATTACATGTCTACATCGGGCAAGACCTTCCATGGGATATGACTGGGCTTACCTAGAACCCGCTAAGCTCATTGATGCACTGTTAAAAAAAATTTGAACTCGACCTGCTATCTCTTCTCCCATCTAGAGCAATGCCAGATGATGTTCTCCCCCACTTCCATCCATCCTACCGACAAAAAGTCAAGTCTCACGTCCCCGGGAAGGCTCGAACTTCCAACCTCCTGATTAACAGTCAGACGCGCTAGCCAATTGCGCCACGGAGACGATTTATGAGGTGCTTTAAGAAGAAAAATGCATCCAGTATTTGGCTACATCCCGCTAGGTGGGGAAGAAGGACAGATGGAAGATTCTCTTACTATTTACGAAGAGGACCGCTGCGAGCACAGAAACATACACGAGAGAAAGAAAAGGGTATTGCAAATATGAACGAGAATCAACAAAACATGCTACTGGTAATGCCTCTAGTAGCGTACCATAACAGAAGCGCACAGAAGTCTCGACACAGACCTTAATAGACAGTGTCTCCTGATCAGAGAGCCCACTCATCTGTCGTTTCCGAGGCGGCGATAAATGGCTTGTCAATCTGTTTGATCGCGTGGTCGCCGCATAGAATACTATAAGAAACGATCAGTAACAATAAAAGGGGATCAACCTGAACACATCGTGACAAATGATACATACCAAGCTTCCGCAACCAACCCATCCAATTCCTTGACAATCTCCTCTCTCCGCGCAGAAGAGATATCTCCACTGCTCACCTGGGCCTGTAAATCTCGAATATACTTCCTCTTGCCTCCCGCACCTTCCAACACCTCTTTCCCCAGACAATCGCTGTGGAAGGCATGCTGACAAGGAAACACAAAGAATTGGCGACTCAAGAGGGGTAGTGAACAGATCCAACACTTCTCGCCCGGTTCCACAATCGCATAGCGCGTGTCTAGACCCGCAATCTCTGACCGAATCTGGCGGGCTGTTTGTGCCGAGTTATCCATCTCCTGACGCAAGTCATCAATATGGCGCGAGTAAATTTCAAGAGCGGTGCAAATTTCGTCTTTGAAGTCATCGATGACGACAAAGTCCGGGAAGAACGGGATGAGATCCTCGATGTGAAGGAGCTCGCAACGGCGGAGAAACTCGATTGCGTCTTTGATGCCTGTGCCGCGCTGACGGATCTTTTTCTCCGCAACCAGAAGCCACAGCTTCTTGCGAAGCTTGTCGTTACCTTCGGGTCGATCTGCGACAATAGCGGCGAGCTCAATGTCGTCGTGTTCCAGAGCGAGTTCGACTGCCTGCAGGTACTGGCCCATTGCGCTGTAGATGTGGATGCACGACTGGACTCGCTTGTGCTGGATACAGAGTCGTAGAGCAAAGTCTGCATCGTATGGAGGAGGCGTTGATGGCTGCGATTGGAGATAAGTGAGAAGTCCTGCCTCAGAGGTTGATGAACTGGAGGCATGAATTGAGATGAGTGTGTTGTGGACAGCTGCCGAGGGTTTGGGGTGGTTGACGATGATGAAGTTGAGGTAGCGCACGGCCTGGTTTTGATTGAGGGATACGCTGGCGGTCTTGTTATAGTTCAACAAAGCGGGAATAAGTCTCTCTGGATCGAGATTCGTCTGTCGCATCAAAATTTCGATCAACCCAGTGGCCGCGTGAGTCATGAGAACACTACTGTACTTGTAAAATATATCGGGCTCGCTCTGGCGCTGGAGTACGTTCAATGCCTCGGACCATTTCTCTCGTTGAATCCAATAGGACAAAACATAGTTGTAATCGTTAGTAGCGGTTGCAAAGAAGAGTAATTCCTGTTCGCGGCCATGACTGCTGATAATGTCGTAGACCGTCTTCTTGTCCAGATCCGCCTTGTGTCTCGTGATAAATTCCTGAAACTCGGCTCGCATGTCACCCAGTTGATCCTGAACCTGGCCTTCGGTTGCACCCTCGGTGAGTTCTGCATTTGTCGCGATGCTGTCGTCCAAGGAGTTCAGCTTCGACATGAAGAGCTCCACAAGCCAACTCGCGACCATGATTCGTTGCATAACAGATGCTTTCTTGTATGTCGAAAGCTGGGAGAGAAGGTATTTCCGGAGAGCATCATACTCCTTGTTATCTACCATTGTCAGGCACACTTCCTCAAAGCCCTTGCTGCTCTTGCCCCAGACTTTCGCAGCCTCGAGGAAGTTGCCCTTTTCTGCCAAAAAGTCGCCCGAAGCCGTCAAGACAGCATCGCGTTGCGCATGACCGTGGGCGTACTGAAGTGCTTCGTCGAATTTCTTTTCTTTGAGAAAAACCTTCCACACATCTCGATCCTCGTCATTGGCAACAACCTCGAAGATTTCTTTGCTGGTAAAAAGCCAGTAGGTGTTTTGTGTGAGGTCAGTCAATAGACCCAAGGAGCTTTGGCGAGGCTCCAGCACAGCCTGATCATATACAATTTCCTCATTCAGGCGGTTGACGGCAACCACTCGGCCTTCGACTAGTGCCAGAACATGCCAATGGGTGAGAGTCATTGCAGAAATCGGATCTTGTATCATCTTCTTCCCTCCTCGTGCGGATTGGGATGCAGGGAACTTCGTGCGAGGCAGCATACTCGCATGGTCAAATGGAGTCTCGGATGAAAGCTGGCCATGGTAAATACCCTCAGCGCTCAACCATGCGAACTCCTTCTCTGTGAGCCCATCTGCCTGGTGCCCTCCCGCGCTCGAGGAGGAGGATACCACTAACACGGATGGTGCAGCACCTGACGGATTGGAAATATCATGAATCAGAGCCGTCTCGCGCTGGAAAAGATCCGCATATATGGATCCGCCGCCATCTCTTCCCTTGGTGGTGGTCCCCGTCCGGCCTAGGACATGTACCAATTTGCCATGCGTTGCCACGAGCACTCGTCTCTGATCAGGCCTCGAAGGGACCAATTCAGCACAGATACCTGTGACTGGCGAGGCATCCGGCACTTTGTAGATTGCAGTGACATATTTCTCCTCGCGCCGATAGAACTCCGTAGATGGTTCAATGTAGGTCTCATATACATTGCCATCAGTTGTACCCAAAAGAATTTCGCGTGTCGAGGCAGTCGGGAGAGACGGATTCCAAGCGACACTCTCAATAGAGACGCCCTTTAACCGAGACAAAGCCTTGGGCTGGCGCGACTGAGTATGGAGGTAGTAGTTCTCGCCGAGCGTGGTGGTGATGATCAGATGGGACGCCGAAGGGTCTAGGAACATGCGACGAATCAAACCGATCTCGGAAGACTTCTTTGGAAGGTCGATATCTATTGCGAATGGTTATATGGGTTAGCTCGGCCCGGTACAGTGCGGCCGGGGTATTAGATTGAGCTGTTTCCCTACCATCGATGTCTTCAGGGGTATCAAGATCAATCCGTAGAATCCGGCCTGTCGACAGGGCCAAGATGAGCACATTGTTCGCAACTTGAGCAGCTACAAAATCCGCCGCGATCGGGAATTGGAGCTGCACCCGCTGAACGTCGAAGATGGGTAGGGAGTCCGAAGGCTCCGTTAGGTTGTTCGGAGCCACATAACTGCTGGATCCGTCCAGCGCCATGATGCGCAAACTGGTCACTATCTCATGCCGACCGTCTTGGGCGTCAGGGAGGAGTTGTTGGAGCTTTCAGGAGCTTGACGAGCAACCGGCGGAGGGACGGGGAGCTGCCTGGGAATGCGGAGAGCAGGTTCCTTTCTGCCTGAGGCACGAAATGAGGCTGGGGCTTGCATACATCATAGTCTCACGCCAAGTAGCAGTACTACAAGAAAGATAAGTAAACATTCTTATATCTAGCTTTATCTCATTTAAGATAAACTGGAAATTCAGGGTTTGTTCATACAGAAATGTAATAGATGAAGAGGGTACCACGGACTAATACTCTACACAATGGAGCTGCTATATGTTGCCCTCTCCAGCCCTAGACAACTATCACCAGTCCATGGTTTGATCCTTTTATCTCTTTGATAAAATGCACTGTTTAACTTCAAAGGCAGTAGTTATCTGCATATAACAACACGTAGCCAAAGAACCTGGCTTTTCTTTCAACCATCGCCTATAAGAAGTTTCACATCTTCAAAGCTTCCATCTCCATCCACCATAAACCCTTTCAATCCCTCCTAGTATCTACCTTGATGTATCTACCTTGATTGGAGGCGGAAGATAATTCTGGACAAAATATCTCAATCAATCCAAGAATGTGCAAATACGAAGCCGACCAGTACACTGGCCGCCTCAGCTGTGGCCATGTATTCCTTACAAAGATCGAAAGATGCAACGAAGCCCTCCAACGACCCAACCAAGAACCCTGCGGAGGCTACCAGCCAGGAGCCCTTGATCCAAACGCCTCGGATCCCGGCGATGTCTGGCGCTATATCAAAAAGGGTGGAAAGAAGCTGGTCGATGGACCCTGTCCGCAATGCATAGAGGATGGCTACGAGGATATAACCCGGTTTCTTCCATTTCCCTTCGAACCGAGTCCTCTGAAGCGGTTTTTGAAGGGAAGATCGAAGAAGAAGGATTCAATGTATCAGCCACAGAGATGGTATTCGGGCTAAGACGCTACAATTTCTCGCCAGGGATGAAGCTACAAGACTACGGTATAGGGTTGATCTTGTCGGATCAGATAAAAATAAAATTGATATTGCGCTTCATGCATGCTGGGGGTATCATTCATCATGGAACATGAAGCCAGAAGCTGGGAAACGCAGAAGAATTAAGTAAGAAATGTAAGTCACATAGGACTCGGGTATCTCGAAACTCGGCAATGTATGCAGTAAAAACAAGTCCCCTCCCGCCGCCCTCCGTCCCCCATCCAACCGCCTCTGCTCTTCCTATGTGCTCACATCACCACACACTCCCGGTCCGGCTTGCGACTCTTGTCCTTGGATTTCTCCTTGGACTTCCCCTTGGACTTGCCCCCTTGTCCGCGATCCTTGCCGGGTTTCTCCTTCGACTCCAACCTGGTTGGTCCCAGGTTGAGGTCGTCAGCGGCGGCATCGTCAGTCTCAATGGCGGACTCATCAGCTTCACCTTCGCCATCACTTGTCATCTTGTCTCTGCTCAGACGACCAGCGAAGCGAGAAAAGGTTGAGCTAATTCTGTTGTCGCCGGGCTGGCTGCCTGCACGACTACCAGAATTGCTCTTGGTGTTCCGAGAGCCACGCCGAGAGAAACTAAACGATCCCCTGGTACCCTCCCTTCCATGGCCGTCAAACGAGGTGACATCGACGGCATTGAGCGAGGGGGCCCGATAGGGGCAGGATCTGAGAATGCCACACTCAAACGTCGCTCAGCGCTCGCGAGAGGCTGAGTGGTATTGTCCGGGCTAGTGATCTCAAAGCTAGGCCTGGCAGAGGTGACATCTTCGGTGGTGCTACCATCCGTGTCAACCGCTAGGCTTGACAGCTTTCGATACACATCGCCCATCTCGACGTCGAGTGTAGCATCCGACACGAACGAAGAGGGCTTGTCCGAGAGATTGGCCAGGGATGCATCCTGGTCAATGGGAAGGATCTGATAGAACAAGAGATAAGGAGACTCAGTTTTCAGTGCAGTCTCAATATCGATGAGGGTGATTCTATCAGACCCAAGGTCGTCAAACCGCATCCAGTGCTTGGGCGTTTCGGTGCTTACTGGCGTAGCACCGTCCCGAGAGCTGGGTGGGGCAGCGTTGGGGCTGGTACCCCGAACCAGGGCGATGTAGTGGCCCGAGTCCACCGAGGTTCCACGGTGACAGACCACCGCCTGCAAGGACAGCTTGAAATTCCCATACATGGGAGCATCTTCATCCATGTTGTCATCCTGGATGAAATGGGGGAGACCGATCTCAACCGGGATGTCGATGTATGTGTTTAGCCGGATAGCCTTCCCGTTTGGAGTAAACGAGTAACGCTTCAGGCACATGCCGAGAATAGGCCGCTTGGAGGAAAAGTGCGCTGCCACCTGAGCATCGGTGGTGGGTGTGTTATCGGTGTACCAAGCTAGATGTGAGAAAAAAATGTTAGCTGAATTCTCTCCTGAATGAAGATAAGAACTTACGGATGAGGCTGAAGAATTGCCACGCGGGCATCATTACTTCCTTCCTAAGGACGCCTCTCCGCGGCTGCTCCGATGTGGGCGAATCTCCACCACCAATCTGCTCGCCACTGGTGTCCGGGATGAATCTTTCACGAACAATGCTATCACGCCGGCCGAGCTTTCGTGAGCCAATGGAGTCGCCAGCTCCCGAGAATGATGAGAACGGGCTAGACTTCTCGGGTACAGGCGACGTGGACTGGGCTGGAGACAGTACAGGCGTTGTCTCAACTTCTTCGACATGTGCACTGAACCCCTTCGAGATGGAGAGTGAATCGACAGAGCGGGAGCTCAGAGTGTTACGTCTCTCGAGATATCGCTTTACTTCAATGCGATTGTTGAAGTATGCTTCCAGGCAGTCCTCAAGAGTGAGAATGCTGCCATCAGTTGGTTCAGGTGGAATGGCCACCTCGAGGAGCCGCTCGTTGATGAACTTGTGGTCATCGCTGACATCTTCCTTGCCCGTGTGGTAGATATCCATCTTGAGGGTCAGGAGGGGCAATTCAAGCTTCTCAGTAATGAAAGTGAATGCCTCGGAGGCATCCTGCTGTCGAAGATTGGCTGCATCCTCCCATCCACACTCTGCTAAAGACTCCTGGATATGCTGGGTCTGTGTACTTGAGTTAGCTCGGACTCATGTTTTGATGAGCAGGCCGAAGAGACCCAGACGAATGATCAAACTTACGATGTCGGTAGTGATAAGCTTCCCTGCTCGTAGAAGATTCACCCAAAATCGCAGAAGGATAGCGAGCTTTCGGCGGGGTTCATCATTGAACGACTTGTACAGAATTGCCTCGAAGCAATCAAGTCGCGCGAACATGGCGAAAAGCAGCGCATCCAAGTAGCAGGTGACACCTTGTCGGTTCTCGGCACCCAGAAGCCTGATATTGGGTGTGTAGGGCCGAATGATACCCTCAACGGAATCTTCCAGCAAGAGCAGGAGGCTGATCGCTTTCTCGACATCGTCTTTGGTGTTCTTCAGCGCATGTCGAACGTGCTCCTCTTCTAGTGTGCTGTAGCCAAGGGAGCGAAGGTAAGCTTCGACAGTCTTGACCTATGGATTTATCGAAACAATTAGTACAAATTCATGTCTCGACCATTAGACTACCAGTCATACCTTCTTTTCATGATCATGACTGTCTTCTTTAGTCGCCTGTGAAACGAAGAAGCCTCGTAGTAGAGGCATAGAAGGAGTAGAGGTGTTCTGTATAATATGCGACGTCAGTAAACTTATATCGAAGCCATCAATGAAGACCAGCGCAAGATGCAAGTGAGAGAAGACACATACCTCTTCTTTACCGTGACGGCCAGCACCTTTCTGCCGATCACGCCGGGTGAGGAAGCGATGAATCCCACTCATGGTTGAGTTGTTCCCAGCGAAAATGGGGTGTTGATGTGGAGAGTGGGTGTCTGGAGGAACAACACCATGCGGGGAATAAGGAAGCTCTTACTCTCAGAGCTTAGTTGAGGCTGCAGGATTTCAGCGAGGCACATGGGAAGATCATCTGCCCGAAGGGTGGACTGCTGATGCTAGCACGGGACAAAGCGCAATGATGAAGAGTCGTTAGGCAGAGCAATTCAGGGAGCGAGAGAGTGTCGAGAAGGGAAAAGGCAACGGCCGATCGACATGAAGCTCTCTGTTTGATCGCGTACTTATCGCTTTCCGCGGGGCATCTGCCGTTGACGCCTGAACTTCGCGCCTGATTTATAAGGCGACAATATATAGGCTGCACGTGACCTGATAGCCTTCAAAACGCCTCAATGGGTACTTTCGACATTGTATCCATCTTGGAGGCAGTAAATATATGGAAAAAGCTTTGTAGAATATCAAAATATAAGATATACTATATATCAAGAGTAATTCGTCTTCGGGAGTTTGTATTTGATATTGCTGAGCATACATGAGCATAGTGGTTGAAACAGCCGCAAATTTGGAGGTTCTAGACAAAGTCATGTTGCCAATTGAAATGCTTGTAAGATATAGAATGTGCCAATATGTGTTATTGTTGATAAATAGGGATGTGGGTGATATCTCTCGAGACTAATGGTTGGCAAGTCTACATGTAGACCTACAGTAGAATATAGTTCCCCTGGCTGCCTCATCGCCTAGCTTTTCGGGCACCCAAATCTCAACACGTGACCCTCCGCTCCATTGCAAACAATTTTCGGCCGCTGGACAGTTGGAGAACCTCCGATCCCGACCTCTACCACATTGCCCTTGCTTGCAGAATGGCTGTCAGGGAATCATCAAGATACCTGGCACGGGCTGTGCCCAGGGCATTTGTGCCTCCAACTCGCTCGCAGGCCTTTTTGGGCCGCCGCAATGCCTCCGATGAGGCCCCGTCTAGGCGTCTGTCGGACCAGCTCGACGAGCTGGAAACCGCGTCGTCCTTGACCACCCCTGTGTCGGAGACTACCGCGAAGTCATTCGACCCTGTGACTCGGGCCAAGGGTCGCAAGACTCAGCTTCCTCGCTCTCGGTAGGTTCTCTCGCCGAAGTCATCGTCCGCGACCCTGGCGGAGGCTCTTCCGCAACGAGCCTGCAATTGACATTGACATTTCCTTTCTAGATACCAATTCCGTTCTCCCAAGTACGACCGTGGTCCTCTCCACCCTCACCAGCCTCCTCCTCCCTCCGACCCGTCCTCCCGCCTGTTCGTTCCAGGCCCCTTCTCTCTCCCGCGCGCACAGCAGACCTACAACTCGACCGTCGCATCCGACATCCTCACCCTATGCTACGTGCACACGCCACCAGGCTTCAATGCGCCCATCAAAGCACCCCGTCTGCGCGAGTGGGACGATAGCTCCCCATACCACAAGAACCGTCCCCTCCGCGGACCCCGTGGCGGTGATGTCCTGCGCCTGCTCCGCAAGCCGATCAAGTTCAACAATATCCCCGAGGTCGAGCGCATCACGATCCACAGTTACGTGAAGGGTGCAGCACAGGAGAACTCCGGTTGGTTGCACGTGGCTGGTATGGCGGTGCAGGCTGTCTCCAATGTGCGTGTGGAGACGTTCAAGTCCAAGGCTAGTGTTGCTACGTGGAGTATCGCTCCTGGTCGTGATACTGTTGCTGTCAAGGCTGAGATGCATGGTGAGACTATGTATCACTTCCTTGGCAAGCTGATTGATGTGGTTCTGCCTCGCATCAAGGATTGGCCTGGTGTTAAGGGGAGCAGTGGTGATAGCAGTGGCAATATCACGTTCGGTCTGGAACCGGAGCATGTTGCCTTGTTCCCTGAGATCGAGGTCAACTACGATATGTGAGTTATATCCATTGGCGTGAATCGTCTTGATAAGATGATACCATGATTGTATGTCTCGATTCTAACGTATTTAAAACAGGTACCCTCCCAAGATGATCCCTGGTTGCCACATCACACTCCACACCACCGCCAAGTCCGACAAGGATGCCCGTCTCCTGCTGAGCGCCATGGGCATCCCATTCTACGGAAAGATCGTGCAGTAAAGCACTAGAACGGGAGACTGTACCTCTTCTAATGTTGACTTGCTTTCTCATTTTATACCACACCCGAGGCGTTGTGTTTCTATACAACCTGTAACTTTAGAGGTGACCTGCATAGTGGTCACTGCGATTCACCAAACATGTGTATTATCTCCATTTTATCATCATTCTACTTCGAGCGAATCAATTATCAAAAATATGTCCCAAGAACAAGACTATGAACTCTTGCTACCGTAACTAGGAATGGTTTACAAGATAAAGATTTTGTGGCAGTTTCAATGCATAACTCATGAGCCCCATTCTTCTGTTTCTATAGAGGATCATAACTCTGGTAAAAAGCGCTGCTTCAAAACTGTCGAATCTTTTCCGAAAAAAAGGAAGTGGATATGAGTAGCCGGGCCAAAACATCCATGCTATCACCCACATCCCCCAAACCCCACCACATAATACATGAGAGAATCATTATACAGACTCAAGAAGGTGAAAAAAAGAGGATCAGAAGAACTATACAAGATGCATCCACCCGTCTACACAATAGGCGCAGCCAAAAACTTGCACTTCAGCAACTCATCCGCAGTAGGCCGCTTCTCATAATCAAGTTGGAAAGTCATATCAAGGAACTCAACCGCTTCGGGACTAACATGTTCCGGCGCAGGCGGACGTGCCTGATTACTACCAATAGCAAAGATAGCCTGCAACTGACTGCAATCCGGGAAGGGATGGGCGCCGATAAACATTTCCACGACTAGACAGCCCAAACTCCAGATATCGGCCTTTTTAGTGTGGGCGGTTTGTCGGACGACTTCGGGGGCCATCCAGTAGACACTGCCTTGCATGGAGGGACGGTGTAGGTGGCCGCCGCCGCCGCTGGCGCGGGAGCCGAGGACGGTGGAGGCTTCGACGCGTTTGGAGATACCAAAATCGGAAATTTTGACGCCACCCTTGTTGTCGACGAGGATGTTGGCGCCCTTGATGTCGCGGTGGATGATGCCTTGGCTGTGGAGGTAGGAGAGGCCGGCCAGGATTTGACGGACGAAGTTCTTGACGAGCGGTTCTTGGAAGGTGTTGTATTGCTTGAGCATGGTGGCAATGGAGCCACCGGGAACGTACTCCAGGAAAATGTTCAGGTACTGGTCGTCAGTCGATGTACCAAGGTACTGTACGATGTTGGGGTGGTGCATTCCCTGGAGGAGCTCGATCTCGTGCTTTAGTGCAGTGACCATGTTGTTCTTACGCTGATCGAATTCCGTGCCCTTGGTAGCGGACGGAATCTCGACTTGCTTCACGGCCATGAGCTCGCCGGTAATAGCATGGAGGGCCAGGAAGACACTGCCGAAGGAACCTTCGCCAATCAAAGATCCCTTCATCCAGTTCTTCGGAGCAAAGTTGTTGCCGGCCAGGAAGTCGCTCATCAGGTTTGCATCGTCTTCCTCGCCGTCGTCAGCAACGAGTACACTGAGTCGATCGTTAGAGGAGCCACCATCGGTAGCAATGACACTGGCGCTTTCGTCGATCATACTCTGGCGAGAAAGGTTCGGTTCGTCCGAGCCACTGTCAAAGGAGACATATGACTTGCGGTTGGGCTCGGTGGGAGACTCTTCCTGCAACGGCTGGAGAGAGCTTGAGGCAATGGAGTCACGATACGAGGCCTGGGGCAGGTTGAATTTGGAAATAGAGAGAGGCCGCGAAGCACGAGCAGCCTGTGCTCCACCTTGCGGTTGGAACCAGGTGTCGGCAATGTTGGGCATCGGAGGGATAGGAGGCAATGGTGGGAGGGGCGGAGCGTCTTTGAGACTTGATGCGACACTGTAGTTACTAACAACACTGAGACGGCTGGCAGCACGGCTGAGACGTTGTGATCTCCGCATCGTCTTGGCGATATCTTCCCTGTCGTGGCTGGGGAAGAACGACTGGAGCTCATGAATAATCATCTCACTGGGTGGTCGTTGTCCGAAGAATGATCGAAGCTTAGTAGCCACATGGTTGCGATCAGCATCGGGCGATGGCTGATCATGATCGTTTGAAGCAGATGGACGATGGCGTGGGCCCACTGGGGACAGTGGTTGTTTAGTATTTATGACGTTCCAGGACTCGCCGGTAAGTTGTTGAATCTTGTGCTTCTGGCGAGGATTGGATTTATTGAGAGCGTTCTGGTGCGTGACCTGACTCTCATCGAAAGCGAGCTGGGACGCGCGGCGAAGCTCATCGACATCTGGCTCCCCAGCGTGAATCTTTCGCAAGATCAAGCGCCCCCGCTCCGACTTATTATGACCGTCACAAATCTCCATGAGCTCGGTCTCCGTCAACCGCCTGCAGTTTGACAGATCCGGGTCCAGGCCATCCAGGACGTAGAAGCAGTAGTTTCGATATTGATGTTCTGGAAGCTGCAATTTCTTGAGGACGCAGAGAATCACTTCGTCCGGAGTCTTGCAGTGCCGGATATCGAGGACCTTGGTCTGGCCACCGGTATAGATGACTCGAATTACAGGAGAATTTGGTGGAAGGGGGCCCATCGTAAGCCCGTCTATACTGGGATTGCGGGGATGTGAGCTTCCCCGGCCGCCATCACTGGGGGTACTCGGGTTGCGGCCGGATCCCGAGCCACCAGAGGATGGATGGTTGAAATAAGAGTCCTTGCGCCAGTCGCCAGGGGACGTGGGGGACTTGCCCGAATATCCGATACCATCCTCCATCAGCTGGGACATGCGCCTGTTTGGAAGACGCATCGAGGAGAGGCGTGAGTGATCGGAATTCAAGGCGGCTGTAGAAGCAGCGAGGGTATTCTAGAACGACTAGAGTTAGTGCTTGCCGGGTATGTCGAGGAGACGCTTGAACAGATGTACCATATTCTTTTGCCTTGGATTGATCATGGCTTTGTTTCGGAGCTGCTTGAT